TTACTTCTTTTATTTGTCTTCAAAGAAACTTCTGCCAAATAGTCCATATTATAATCTCAAGCCCAAGTTACTGTTTTTTCTCATTTAGGAACATACCACAAACTTTAAAAAAAAAATACAAAATAGATCTAAACCCTGACACAATATTTGTTAATATGGAATAAATCACTTTGAGGTTCTATTATTAATATACATGTCTTGGGGAAAAAATATTTCTAAATCTGTCATAATACATTTTACCATAGTTTTTTAAGTACTCTGCATGAAGCTTTTTATCTTTACTAGGGTAGAACTTTTATATTTTTATCTTTTAAAAAAAAAATTACATCAGAAACATCTGAAAGAGAAAATAAGATTATTGAGGACTTTACTGGGTAAATAAATATTATTTCATAATTTTTCAGTGATAACTAAATCTATGTCAAAGAAGCATCAACTGAAACCTTTATAACTTTTGGCACAGTTACATTTTGAAAGTAAAATTAGTGTTTTAGGCTTTTTTTTTTTAATTCCATAAATGCCATGGGAATTTTATCACATTTCAACACTTGCTGAATATGTAATTCCCATAGTGACCATTAGTGGCCATCTGTGTAAGGTAATACATGTTTGGGATGAAATTGATTACGGCCTAAACACTCTTGTGTTAAGATCAGGAAAAGCACGCAAAGTTCAAATCTTTTTTCCTAATGGTCGTTATGTAGCTAAAGATATTAATTTCCAGAGACTGAGCAGTCTATCACTCAAGATCTAATCTCACGACAGATGACATCGAGGCCAGAGGAAAGGAAGCTGCGGGCCGTCCACTAAGATTAGTCAGTGACGCACTGGAGGAGCCCTTAGGATAAAGGGGAAATTAACAGGCTTTCAGATGCAGTTTTTCTTTTGCAGGCAGCTAAGTAAACCCACTGCAGTTTTGCTGAATATTCAGGAATGTTTCACTAGAAATTCCTGTTCTCATAGCCACCAACACCCTGCGCATTAACCTGCTTATGACATTTCTCAACATGTACATGGCTGGCCCTACATCTTTGGTACTTTATCTTTGCCTGGTTTGAAAAGTGTTTCCTTTTTGCCTGTACAAAGCCAGATGCTTTCCTTCTTTCAAATGTGCTTTCAATATAACCTCCCCCGTGCAGTCCTTTTATTTTTATCAGGCTTGTGCGGGGCAGTAGATACCCGGCCACTTCCTGTGCTCATTTATCCCCTTAGAGTAGAACTAGAAAATATACAAATATGTTTGTTTATTTATTTCTGATTAATGTATTCACATCTTGGCTTTCATATTATCTACCCCTGGGTCTTGTGAAATATTACCAAAAAAATTTAATTTTTTGGTTTAAAAGTTTTGAGAGCATATATTACTCAACTGTCGTCATGAGATCCTTTAAAAATCTTATCATGCCTTCTGTGGAATATCTAACATTTGAATACAGCTCTATCCTGGTCTTTGCTGGGATGTGGGCCAGAATGATTTAGCTACTAACGTCCTAAGAGTAGCTGAAAGAATTGATGAAATCATTGTCTCAGTGTTGAAATTCAGCAATTGTGAGGCTAGCATAGTTGATGCTGGACTGGTCTTCCTTTTCATTCTTGAACTTCTTGATGATGATTATTCATCAGGTTTTGATAGATTTCAAATCTGCTTCCCATTAAAGATAATAAAGTAATGCCATGTTTTTAAAGAAGGAAATTTGCCTTCCTATCGTATATATTATATACTAAGAAGTCATCCATCAAGTGTATCTAATAGCTGCATAAGTTATTTGGAGTATATTGAAGGGAAAATGGTCTAGATTGCAACAGTACTTTAGAACATTTGGATTTGGGTGTTTGGGGTTTGTTTTGTTTTTTTTTCTTTCTTTCTTTGTCACTCACTCTCTGCACATATATCAAACTCTGACTATCAGTGTTCTGGGGATACAGTATAAAGATGAATAAGACATGGCCCATGCTTTTTTTTTTCCATTTAAAACTTCCCTTTCTTTATAAAAGACTCCCCAGAGCCCTTCTTCAGCACCACCTCAGCATCTGGGCTTGCAGGGTCTCCTTGAGTCAGCACTTCCTGCCCAGGCCAGCGCTGTTACAAGGAATATGCCCACGTCAGGACCCTGCCCTCCCTGCTGCCAAATTGGAACATCAGCCCGCAAGCAGAGGGAGAGCGCCATCTGTCCCTCTCCTTGGTGTTAAGTAGAGAAGTACTTGAATAAAGAAGTCAATACTAGCCCTTGATGCACCGATGCCCATTTAATTTACTACAGCCAACACGGATGAGAGCTGACTGTTGTTCTGGGCGCCATCGTTTACAGCAAGGGACAACGAGGGGATGGGCGATACAGGACATCTTGGCTCAAGCCCTACCCTTCTGTAATCTTACCCGATGTCACTGTCGTTCATCATTGCCCCTCTCTAGGCTTCTCTCACCTCATTTATAAAACAAGGAGCTTGGAGACATGGTCCCTACTTTTGAACAAAACTACCAGAGTCATACATTTAAGCAGTTAACCTTAATGTGATAAAATAAGGGCTTCCCTGGTAGCTCAGACGGTTAAGAATCTGCAATGCAGGAGACCTGGGCTCAACCCCTGGGTTGGGAAGATCCCCTGGAGAAGGGAAAAGCAAGCCACTCCAGTGTTCTTGCTCAGAGAATTCCATGGACAAAGGAGACTGGCAGGCTACAGCCCATGAGGTTGCAAAAAGTCGGATACGACTCAAGGACAAACACTTCCACTTTCAAGATGTGTAAAAAAAGGCAGAGTTCTATCAGAGCACAGCAGAGGGAAAAACTTGAATTAAGAAGTAAATGAAAACTTCAAAAAAGGAGTAGCTTTTGAATCTGGACTTACAGGGTGAGCCAGAGCAGGGCAGTGGGGGATATGTGTGTATCTATTGTCCATACATATACATGTAAGTACCTGCATGCATGTATACAAACACTAATGCATGTGGTGTTGGAGAAGACTCTTGAGAGTCCCTTGGACTGCAAAGAGTCCAACCAGTAAATCCTAAAGGAAATCAGTCCTGAACATTTATTGGAAGGACTGATGGTAAAACTGAAACTCCAATATTCTGGTCACCTGATGGGAAGAACTGACTCATTGGAAAAGACCCTGATGCTGGGAAAGATTGAAGGCGGGAGGAGAAGGGGATGACAGAGGATGAGATGGTTGGATCGCATCACCGACTCAATGGACATGAGTTTGTGTAAGCTCCGGGAGTTGGTGATGGACAGGGGGGCCTGGTGTGCTGCAGTCCATGCAGTCAAAAAGAGCTGGACTCAACTGAGCGACTGAACTGAACTGAATGTGTGTGCACACACCTGTGTTTAAGCATTGTGGCAGAGACTGTAAACCGGCTAATTGACCACCTACTCCCATCCCCATTCTGCCTTGCCACCTCCACTAAGTCTAGAAAAGTTAAATGTTGATAGTTACGGATGGCCATGTAGCACCATCTGGCCTGTTGCTATATTTAGAAATATGATGAGGAATTTTATAAACCCTTTTGCTCTTCAAATAAGAGATGGATACATTTGGTTTCACCTCCTTATTCTTGTCTTCAGAGTGGTTGTTGTAGCTGTGACAGTCACATTGAGACATTGAGAGAGATCTAGAGAATGAGTGGAAATACAGTCAAGCCAACCATCTTTTACCCAAAATACCCACTTCAGTACTAATGATGTAAGAAATATGGAACTTTACTTAAGCTACTTTTAGTCAGATTTTCCTATTATTTCTAGCCAAAAACATTCCTAAGTAATAGACTCAGCAACTATACCCACACACACACTCTCGATTTTACATGTTTGTATATATATTTAACTTTATTTTCCATACTTACCAAGACTTGGGGCTATTTTTAGACTTGGATTTTGATGAAAAGTAAATAGGACTTAATGTTAAAGAAAAAATAGAAAGTGGAATGCCTTCTTCGTTATTACCAACCCAGACACTGTCCTTTGCAATAATTCCCCTTGTATCTGTTCTGTCCTTGTCTGATAGTGTGAATGAAACACGAAGGCAAGCAGGAAGGGAATGGTTGAGAAGAAAAATAAATGCTGAAGCAGTTCATTCTGGAGGTTAGGTTACGGGGAACATGCCTAAGACTGAGAATTAGTTGGTGTGGCTTGCAGAACACCATTGGGAAGGGTACTCAACTGGTGTCAATGCCTGGTCACATGATAGACAGGTTTAAATCATAGTCCATCGTTGCACATACCTGTGTATTTAGGACCAAGAACACCATTATCTGTTTCCATTTGTCAAGCCAGAGTTCCCTAACAGCCAGGAGATTGCTCTCCCTCTCCCTCCACTTAGGAAGATGAGAGAAGAAAAGCATTCTTCTTTGTCCGAGATCGGAACAGCTTTCCACAGGGTGGTTTGGTTGTGTTCCATCTTACATGAAAGATACCATCTGATAAGCAAGAGATCTTTGATGGACTCTGAACTTCCCCTGCACAAACAGGGGAAGAGCGTGAACAGAACTCAGCCTGTTCTTTCTTTCGGAGACCAATGCCGTCACTTGGTTTATTGCTCCTGTATTCATCCTGATTGTATTGTGTGTCTGCATTTCCTGACACCGTATCCCGTTGTAATTTAGTAATGCCAGCATGTAACTTTACTCTTTTTCAACCAGCTCAGTTGGATTATTCCTCACTGTGGTGACCTTGCATAGTTTCTGTTTTTATTTTTGCGTAGTAGCCGCCTGCCCCTGTTTAACTGGTTTTGTTTCCCTCCTTCTACCTTTGTGTGTGTGTGTGTGTGTGTGTTTAGAATCAGTTCCTTACCTTAGGGAGGCGTCAGGTAGCTCCACTCTTCTGTCAGAAGTACTGGATGAAATGTAGGGATCCTTGAGAGAAAAAACTCAGTGGGATAGTTGGAATTCACACTGAATTCATGGGTTATCATTTAGTCTCTGATTTTAAAACACCCAATGCTTTGTTCTTAAAGACTCAAAACCATTTTGTTAATCTTAAAAATGTTGCTGCTCTTTTTCTTCAGAATCTTCAACTACTGGGAGCTACAGCCATTGAGGATAAATTACAAGATCAAGTGCCTGAAACCATAGAAACTCTAATGAAAGCAGACATCAAAATCTGGATCCTCACAGGAGACAAGCAGGAAACTGCCGTTAACGTTGGTAATTCACCTAGCTTAAACGTTATCTCATGGTGCTTTTTAACATGTTTTGATGCATTTTAGAGGATAGATTTGAGATATTTCAAGATTTGAAAGCTTTAGTATTTCGAGATTTCCTTATTTGTAGTTTCACCCAGCTTGTCTACTTGCTTATGGCCCCAGCGCCCCCTTTAAAGATGCGGTGATTATGGATACAGCCAAACTTTAGCTCTTGCAGCCACAGAGTTCCCTCTCTCACCTTTGAACTCTGCCTGCCCCTAATTCACCTCCATAACTGACACACGCGGATGAACTCTCTGCAGTTGTCCGCCGGAGTCTGGAGACTCGGATTATGGCGAGCTTGTATCCTGACACTTGTTTATGTGGCCAAAGGTTATTTCTGAGATAGGAAGTAAGGTTTTGCCAGTTTTCATTGATCTAACAATTAATTCTGATTCTACAGAAAGAGGTTATATTAGTCAGCTCAGGCTGCCATAATAGAAAATGGCATCTTAGGTGACTTAAGCATCAGACAGTTATCCTTCACAGCCCTAGGAGCTGGAGTCCCAAACCAAGGTGTCAGCAAGTTGGTTTCTCCCGAGGCCGGCCCTCTCGGCTTGCAGATGGCCACATCTCTGTGTATCCTCGCCCGACCTCTCCTCTGGACGCTCACAGAGCGTCTGGTGTCCTGTCCCCTTCCTGTAAGGACACTGGTCCTGTTGGGTGAGGGGTCACCTTACGATCTCATGTAACTCTAACTCTTTGAAGACCCTGTCTCCAAACGCTGTCACACTGGTGGTTGGGGCTTCGACGTATGAACTGGAAGGTGGGGACACAACTCAGTCTGTAACAGAGGAGAAAGGTAATGTTTGCTGGTAGAGGCCTGTAGTACCAATAATGTGCAAGAAAAACAGTCATTTTTTCACCCCAAATTCAGCAGTAGTATGTGGCCTGAGCACTGTGAACCCTGACATCAACCTCTGGATGATACTGATGATACAAATTATACACAAAACTCTCCCAAAATTAAAGAAACCATTTCAGGAGTGTTCACAAACTGAAACCACATTTTTTGAAAGTCATTAAGTATCATCTATGTTAAAAAAAAAAAAAAAGATTTTAGCTAATATTCCTTTTAGAAATGTGAGTAATCAAGGGTATGTTCTGTGATAAATACTATACTTATAAATATAGCATTTATATTAAACAGTATAAACACTATAAATTCATAGTAAGTTGATGTTCATAGGGGAAAATTAATTTTTAAAAGAAAACTATGAGTTCCCTGGTCATCCAGTGGTTAAGATGCCGCACTTCCACTGTGGGAGCACAGATTTGATCCCTAGCCAGGGAACTAGGATCCTGCAGGCACACGTTACAGCCAAAAAGAGGGAAAAAAGAAAAGAAACCTAGAACATAAAATTTAAACCTACAAGCCAAGCAAGTTGTTAATTTTGATTTTAAAAATTTCCACTGGTGTTAGAGACAACATGACAAGAAGATGTATGAGAAAACAGAATTCTTTAGAATCAGGAGACCTGGAAAATGCAAATATGATAAAGCAGTGTGACGACAGATAGAGGGGGAATGTATGGGGTTGAGAGTGGTCTGTGGGGAAGACGCACAGTCCTCAGGATGGTCCTGGATATGTAGCCGGTGTGAAAATACCTATGAAAAGGAGAGAAGGGTGGTGGTTTCTAGCTGCCCTTAACTTCTAGAATCCTAAAAGTTGTCCCTAGAAAAAGGAAAGTAAGATTCATCCATTCAGCAAATGATTACGGAGCCTGTGGTGCCAGGCGTCAGTGAAGAACACAGAACAAAACGCATCGGAGCCTCTGCCATCGGAACTCAGATTCTGGTCAGGGAAACAGACGTAAAGTAAATGAGAAAAACACATAACATATTCGATGGCAATAATTGTTCTAAAGAAAAATTAAGCAGGGGAGGGAGAATGGGGCATTACCCAGGGGGGTTCAAGTTCAAATCACGAAGTCAGGAAGAAGTATTGAAAAAGTGAAAGCCCAGAAACAGCCTATAAGAAGAAAGGGAGCTTGTCACTGGAATGGTTTGGGAGAACCGTCTTCTGTCCTGCAGAAAGCGCAGAGATGCCCAGGGCTAGAGGAGGAGGAGAGGGGAGCAGTGCGTCGGAGTTCAGTTTGGACGGAGCCGCCTACGCGGCTGTCCAGTGTTGGCATTTCCTCGGTAGGGAAGCAAGTATTGAAGCAGGAAGGCCAGAGGCTGTTGAATTGACCCAAGTAGGACCTGGTGATGCTTGAACCTGGGTGGTCAAGTAGAGGTGGTGAGGAATGGTTGGATTCTGGATGTGTTTTTGAAGGAACAGCCAACAGGATGGATTGATAAATCAGACATAGGGTATGGGAGAAAGGAAGGAATCCCAGGTAACTTCACGGGGCTTTAGCCTTAGCAGTTGAAGGATGGGGTTGCCATTAACCAAACGAGGAAGACTAAAGGAGGAGTGAGTTTTCTGGATGGAGGTTAAGAGCCTGATTTTAGATATGCCAAGTTGGAGATGTTTATTTTATACCTAAATATCTGCTATTAAGTAGGCACCGCCGTGTGAGACTAGAGTTCAGGAAAGAGGTCTGAATGGGATTTATGAGTTCTAGAATGGCCAGCATTTCAGTTCAGTTCAGTCGCTCAGTCGTGTCTGACTCTTTGTGACCCCATGAATTGTAGCACGCCAGGCCTCCCTGTCCATCACCAACTCTCAGAGCTTGCTCAAACTCATGTCCATCGAGTCAGTGATGCCATCCAACCATCTCAGTCTCTGTTGTCCCCTTCTCCTCCTCCTGCCCTCAGTCTTTCCCAGCATCAGGGTCTTTTCAAATGAGTCAGCTCTTTCCATCAGGTGGCCAAAGTAGTGGAGTTTCAGCTTCAGCATCAGTCCCTCCAATGAATATTCAGGACTGATTTCCTTTAGATGGACTGGTTGGATCTCCTTGCAGTCCAAGGGACTCTCAAGAGTCTTCTCCAACACCACAGTTCAAAAGCATCAATTCTTGAGCTTTCAGCTTTCTTTATAGTCCAACTCTCACATCCATACATGACTACTGGAAAAACCATAGCCTTGACGAGACGGACCTTTGTTGGCAAAGTAATGTCTCTGCTTTTTAATATGCTGTCTAGGTTGGTCATAACTTTCCTTCCAAGGGGTGAACGTCTTTTACTTTCATGGCTGCCGTCACCATCTGCAGTGATTTTGGAGCCAAAAAAATTAATGTCTGTCACTGTTTCCACTGTTTCCCTATCTATTTGCCATGAAATGATGGGACCAGATGCCCTGATCTTAGTTTTCTGAATGTTGAGCTTTTAGCCAACTTTGTCACTCTCCTCCTTCACTTTCATCAGGAGGCTTTTTAGTTCCTCTTGACTTTCTGCCATAAGGGTGATGTCATCTGCATGTCTGAGGTTATTGATATTTCTCCCGGCAATCTTGATTCCAGCTTGTGCTTCATCCAGTGCAGCATTTCTCATGATGTACTCTGCATATAAGTTATATAAGCAGGGTGACAATATACAGCCTTGATGTACTCCTTTCCTGATTTGGAACCAGTCGGTTGTTCCATGTCCAGTTCTAACTATTTTTTCCTGACCTGCATACAGATTTCTCAAGAGGCAGGTCAGATGGTCTGGTATTCCCATCTCTTTCAAAATTTTCCACAGTTTATTGTGATCCACACAGTCAAAGGCTTTGGCATAGTCAATAAAGCAGAAATAGATATTTTTCTGGAACTCTCTTGCTTTTTCGATGACCCAGCAGATGTTGGCAATTTGATCTCTGGTTCCTCTGCCTTTTCTAAAACCAGCTTGAACATCTGGAAGTTCACGGTTCACGTATTGCTGAAGCCTGGTTTCAAGAATTTTGAGCATTACTTTGCTAGCGTGTGAGATGAATGCAATTGTGCGGTAGTTTGAGCATTCTCTGGGATTGCCTTTCTTTGGGATTGGAATGAAAACTGAGGGATGAGATCACAAGAGGACTGAGTGTAGATGGTACTGTTTTAAATGTGAGCTGGGCCAAAAAGGCTGCCTGTTTTTGTCTAGCCACCTTCAGCTGTAGGCGCACGAGTGCACGTGGGCAGAGCTGGTTTGATCAGCTGTAGGCGCACAACTGCACACGGGCAGAGCTGGTTTGATCAGTAGGTGCGTTTGCCCCGCCCCAAGTACAGCGAAGCTAGAGAGAAGAGACTGTGGCCACAGTGCAAAGGCAGGGAGGTCGTGGCGGGATCAGCGGTCCGAGAGAAGCCCAGGCAACCTCCTGCATCCTTCTCCCGAAACAAGCCCTGGCCCATCTTCTGCTCTCCATGTGGGTCCTCATGACCGCTGTGCCACATGCCTTTATCAGTTTTCAGAACACTATTCTCTTTCCACATTCATTTATCAAGGCAGCTTTAACCTGTCAGGTGATGTCCTTATATCTTATCCCTCTTTTATAGCAAGCAAGAGTATTTCTTTTTCAAACTTCTACAGATCTAGAAGACAGTTGACTGCCATCTTTCCTGTTAAAATAGAGAGCATTTTAATTTTACCGAATAATATAGATAAAATTCAGAATTTTTGTAGTTTTAGCATTTTATCATCTTCACCTTCTTTCTCTATAGAAATTAATTATATCAACCAATTTACTCTGTTTGATCATAGGACACTCCTGCAAACTTCTGAGGAAGAACATGGGAATGATTGTTATAAATGAAGGCTCTCTTGATGTAAGTAAGATTATCTTTTTGAAAGACTTTTAGTAACTTACTTTGCGTTTTATATTCGGCTAACTATTGAGGTATTTTGTTTTCCTGGGTTAAAAGGTGCCTTATTACTATGGTTCTGCTGGAACAAACGTACACTGTTTTGAACCACTGATGTAAACAGATGCTAGTTTTGTGTCTTTAACAGCTAAAAGAAATTGCTAAACGTTGTGAGACCAAAAAAAAGCTGCTTTACAAAAGTATTCTGTCAAGAGATTGCTGAGTAACTACAGCTTCTCTGTATCTGCCTGAGTATTTTGTATATTTCAGTATTATTACATATTATATATGTAATATTTCAGTATGAATATTTTGCTTCTTTTTTTAAAAAATGTGAAAGCTATTGAGCAACACCAGATAGCCAACAGTCAACTTTTTTTTTTAATGTCTGAAGTTCAGAGCTGAAATAGAGATTCCTCGGATGTCTGTTCTCATGACTATGATCGCATGAAGTTATAGTTGGAAAGGAGGGCAAAGATTATTTTAGGAGTATAATAGATAAAAGTTAACCCCTCAAAATGTAGGTCATGACCTGTAAATATTTTAAGGGAAAGATGACTGTTTGCAATTAAGGTGAAAGACAGAACGGGAAAGGTGATATACAGCTGCTTGAAATACCCATTGTGATGCAAAGAGCAGAAGAGGAAACCTGATAAGTAGGGATGTTGGAGAAGCTGAGAGGCCAGCTCTGTGGAAGGGATGGTGAAGAAGTAGATATTTAGAAGTTGGGTATAGACAGGAAGTTACATGTAAGAAGTACTTTGTTTCTGATTTTTACCTGGAATCATGATCTCTTCTTTATTACTGTGCTTAAAACAAGCCTTGTGATGCACTTCCCTTTCTTGTGAAATCTTTGAGCCCCTTGTAGCCTGAGTGATAACATATGATTTTGCAAGCATGGGACCTGCTTATGCCTCTAATTATTGGAGAAGTGCTTTTTGTGAACCAGGCTTTAATCCTAAAAACACAAACAAACAAACAAAGCTAGCCCTCTGAAAGCTTACAAATATTAAGAGAAGTACATTGCATACAAGTAATAATGCAAAACAAATAGGTAAGGTAGATAACTTGCTGTGAAAATATCATGAAGTTTAAGTAACTATTTGCAAAATAAGTGGCATTTAGTTACATAAAGGTGAGTAACACGTGAGTAACTGAGTTGGAGGAGCAGAAGCAGAAAGTTAGTGCAAGTCAAGTTCCTCTTGGGGTGCCTGAACGAGGAGCATTAAACTTGCACACAAGATTATATATTTTTAAATATGTTTTGTTTGAATAAACATAAGCGCAGAATGTAAAGCTTTTCAAAGTTATGAAAAGAGAAAATATAGATGGTAAAAAGTGAATCTCTCACCTTAACTTTTTTTCTTTTATTGAAGTATCGTTGATTATAATGTTGTGTTAATTTCCACTGTGCAGCAAAATGACTCAGTTCTATATACATATGTATACATGTGTGTGTGTGTGTATACTGTTTCATATTCTTTTCCATTTTGGTTTATCATGGGATATTGAATATAGTTCCCTGTGCTATATAGCAGGATCTTGTTGTTTATGAATATCCCACCTTTATACCCAAGCTACTAGTTTGCCTTCCTAGGGATGGCCACTAGTTCCAGTCTTGTGTGTTCATGCAGAGCGGTTCTGCCATATCTAAGGGATTTATGTCCATGCCAGTCGACACATCCTTTGTTGTTAAACACATATTACAGCATCCTGTCCACACTCCTTGATATTGCACTTTGCTTTTCTCACTTAATATATCTTAGCAGTTGTTTTACAATGGTCCGTATGAAGCTGCCCAATTCGTTTTAACAGTGGGCACAGTGTTTATAAGGCACCCATTAAAAAGTGATAGAGGGAGTTAAACCTGGAGAGGTAGTGTCAGGCCAACTGTGGAAAGCTAGGCCAGGTTTGAGAGTTTGCCTTCATAGGCACGGGGTGTGACTTCATCAGCCTCTTAGAAGAGGTGTAATGTGTAGAAGCAGTTGGCAAGTTGGAAGGGTACAGACGAGGGACCAGCATAGGATTCAGGGAAGAGGAAATGGGGCACAGAGCCAGCGATGGGATGCAAACCTCAGGGACACTTATCCCCACGGGTGTTCCTGGAAGACGAGCCATCCAAGGTGGTTCCAGAACTGGGTGCAGTTGTTCACAACCTTGCAAAAACGTCAGTGTAAACGTTTCCATAATCCCTGTAGACCTTTCGGCCGTTGTCAGCATCATAGGTTAAGCGTGATGCACAGACTTGCTGACACTGGAAGGACATCAGAAGTGGGACCTGTGAGACGACAGTGAAGCATGGCTGACCGCGTGCTGGATTCGGCATGCTTCCCCTTTTGTCTGGATCTAGGCTTTCACCTCAGCGTGGAGTGTGCTGGCATTGCTCCTTTTGTTTTCATCCGTTTCATTATTTTTCTCCAACTCTTGGATAAACACATCCAAATGTTCTTAAAGTGCTTTTAGTGTCAAATGATGTAAACAGTAACCTTGAGGAAAAAAACAAAAAGAGAAAACTGAAATGCCGAAAATATTCTGTGCGCTGAATCTTGTATTGTTAAGACAGAGGCATTTATTTTCATTCTGAAGTTTCCAAGATGGTAACTCAAAACTTAAGAGACACTTCAAAGGTTTTTGCACTTCCTGTTGCTACAGGAGCAAACATAAATAGCCTCCGGGGAATGCTCGTTTTCAAGGAGAGCAAGGACCCCGTCTGTCTATTTTGGTTTTCGATCTCTGTCCCAGCAAGTTGTCTACCACACTGTTGTGTGCGTGCTCAGTCGTGTCTGGCTCTTTGTGACCCCACGGACTGTAGCCCGCCAGGCTCCTCTGTCCATGAGATTTCCCAGGCAAGAATACTGGCTTGGGTTGCCATTCCCTTCTCCAGGGGATCTTCCTGACCCAGGGATCGAACCCACATCTCCTACATTGGCAGGCGGATTCTTTACCACTGAGCCATAAATATTTGAGAAATGGGTTACTGAATAATGTTTAATTAAAGGCTCCCTTTTTTAAAAATTTGTATATCAGTTTTAGATGTGGTAGTAGTCGATCATATGTCATATTTAAAGAGCAAAGTGATTGGAAACGTCCTTAGCAATTTGTGTCCGTTGGGTGTGAAAAATCACAGGCAGACGCGACGGCTGAGCGGACTGACACTGATTCGCCCAGCATCGGACTGCCTCTGGTTCTCGCACTGGTGTCTGGAGGAGGCTTTTTCTCCCAGGCAGTTAAGTGGTGACTTTAAACAGATCTGGCTGTCTGGGGTCAGACCTGCTGCGGTGAGCTCATTTGCTTCTCAGCAGGAAAGGAAACCCCACTTTGCATCATAGCTCCTCCAGGTCTTGTGTCCTGCAACCCACGGCTGAGATTTCAGGCAAATCATCAGAATGAGTCTAGGCAAATCATCATTTTTCATTGCCATGGAAAAGAAAAGCATCCTCTGTGTTCACGTTTGTACTGATAATAATAAAAGGGTTATCATTCCATCAGCACAAAGAATGATTAACATTCAGGTAATGAACTTAGAAACACACTGCCTTAGGAAATAACATAATAGGAAATAAATTGTAGGTGTGCAAAGTTTTGTCAGATCACAATTCTGATGAATGTAGTCACATCACTCTGTACAGTAGCATGGTGGGTCAGGGCTCAGCTCTGCCCCACCTGAGTGGCGGGCTCTGGACAAACTGGAATTAGAGAACTTCTCTAAGCCACTTGTGCTGCCTCTGAGGTAATGATAATGTTACCCTTGGCACAGGACTGGTATGGTTAGCACAGGGCACAGCACGTATGAAATGAATGTTACAAAACTTTGTAGGAAAATAGTCCATGTTAAAATCCTGCTCCTCAGACCTAATATGGAAATCTGACTTTTCTGCCTCTGTACACTCCCAGCGTCTTTCCCAGAAGAGCAGCTCTCCCCGCAAGCATGATGCCTGGGTGCAGGGCTGGGGCTTCTCACCCAGTTACCTACCCAACTGTTGCCGGATGTCGCCAGTGTCAGCAAAAGAGGGTCTTAGGAAGCTTGATCATACGTTTTTAATTTAGAAAGTCAGAATTTTATGGATAAGCCTCTTTAATTATCATGTAAAGTTGATCAAAATCTGTTAGATGTTTATAATAAGCAGGTAATTTAGGTAACATGTAACTTTTTATCATGTAACTTTGAGCCATTTTATTAAGGGTTCTGATTATGATATTCATATGAGACGTTTTCTTAAGGGTCTGCTAAAGCAAGAATTTTAAGTTACTGGCTTGAAGAATGTTTTGTACTTCTTCCCTAAGTCTACAGAAATGCCCAGAAATGACCCCATTAAATTCTCAGAAACCCCTTTGACTTGATGACCTCGATCCAGGTTCTTCTAGCGTCTCTCTTTTTTTTTATTTCTGTTGGAGAACAGTTTTTTTACAATGTGTGTTAGTTGTTGCAGCAAAGAGAATCAGTTATTCATACACATATATCCACCCTTTTCTGATTCTTTCCCATAAAGACCACCAGGGAGTAGTGAGCAGTGTTCCCTGTGCTGTGTGGTAGGTCCTTCTTAGTTACGTGTTTTATATATAGCAATGTATATATGTCAACTCCAATTTCCCAGTTTATCCCCCAGCATCTCTTTTATACTTTTGGCTTACCATGAAGTAACTTGTTCAAAATGTATCTGTTAAAACTGGAAATATCTAGAAATGTGAACTAAGAACTCGGGAATCTCCCATTGTCTAATTAACGTCTTTTAAAATGTAGTATAATGAGTTTATGTTATATTAAGGAGTGTGATGATTATAGTGTTCAAATCCCCCATAGCATTCTAACTCTGTGAATGTCCGAAAATACTTCCGGTGACCCAGAATATTTTTTTTAATGGATATTATCTAACTTTCTGTAAAAGGTAGAGAGAAAGTGAAGACTGTTTCGTTGAGATGGCTCAGGATTTCACTACCCTCATCTGGCAAGTCTGGGTAGGTGG